TGACTCTCCGAGACTCCTTGCCAAGTTTTGCAGATATCGGCCTGGCAGCTCTCCAAGCCAGTTAAGGTCTGTGACTGTAAATCCTTCCTTGAAAGACTTTGTTGGATGTGAATGAGCAGAGTTCACAGTAAATTAATAAAAGGGATTTTTGTCGGCGCAAGGAGTTTGCTTCATGCTCTTGGTCAGAACACTAAAAAGGAGGCAATGGCAAACCACTCCTGAAAAACCTACAGAAGCTGAAGCAGTTTTTCTAGCCACTAACAATCAGTGTTGACTTGAAGACAAGAACATACAAAATTAACCATACCTATCTTACACCATATCTAATTTGTTCCCATCTATGACACGAAAGGGTGATCCATTCACATGGAGGAAACACAGACACATATAAACTCTTTTCCCTATTCCACTGTTAGATTTAGTCCCGGAGGCCCTAAGATTGGAGGCCTTTTGATATAAAGTTACACCAGAAGGTCTCAGTAAGGTTGTGTACTGAAACAGGACATTGGGTTGCCACAAAAGCATTGGAAACATCTAATTATTTCATAGCAAGGCATTTAAAGAGACAAATACAAATTAGCTTCAAATGAAGGTACAGTATATACTGATTAGACGCTTATTGTTTGTCTTGATCTTTCTCACAGATTATAACAGTATATCCTGGAAACAATACCTGAATTTTTGAAACAACAATAACAACCCCCCACCCCTGAAAAACCAAAACCTACCCTGAAATTTTGTGAGGCCCTGCAAATTGTGAAGCCCTAAGCCAGTGGTTCCCAAACTTGGCAACTTTAAGACTTGTGGACTTCAACTCCCAGAGTTGCTCTGCTGGCTGGAGAATTCTGGGAGTTGAAGTCCACAAGTCTTACAGTTGCCAAGTTTGGGAACCACTGCCCTAAGCTATACCTTGTTTTGCTTAGGTTTAAATCTGGCACTGCCCTACTCCGTAGTTGTATCCCAACTTCTGGGATAAACTTTGATCTAATATGTCTCCCTTGAACAAGTAGGAAGCTAACCACCTCCACCAAATTAATTATGCAGGTCCTGCCAATGTCCCTATTAGGAGGAAAGACTGTCATGGGTAATTCATTAGCATCAGACTAATCTTTCCCATCCATACTGTTTGGATACCTGATAAACACGTATTGATTAAATAATTTCCATCAAGGGAAGAAGATGTCTAATTTAATGAAAAGAAGGACTAGGGGGAGACTTGATAGCAGTGTTCCAATATCTCAGGGGTTGCCACAAAGAAGAGGGAGTCAAACTATTTTCCAAAGCACCTGAGGGTAGAACAAGAAGTAATGGGTGGAAACTAACCAAGGAGAGAAGCAACTTAGATCTGAGGAGAAATTTCTGACAGTTAGAACAATTAATCAGTGGAACAGCTTGCCTCCAGAAGTTGTGAATGCCCCAACACTGGAAGTCTTTAAGAAGATGTTGGATAGCCATTTGTCTGAAACGGTATAGGGTTTTTCTGCTTAGGCAGGGGGTTGGACTAGAAGACCTCCAAGGTCCCTTCCAACTCTGCTATTGTATTGTAAGAGAGAGAAATGCAAATGGAACTTCAAAATGGAACTTAAAAAAAAAAAAAGGTAGATCCAGCCCAGGAATTTAATTTGCTGGGAAATACTTCCAAACTTTGAGTACTTTACCGATCACAAAGCATCCATTGGGCAACACAATTCGGTGGCCCATTCCAGCATGCAACTCCAGGATTTCATTTTGATTTCCTTGCTTATTTCCTTTTTGAATGGACAATGCAGCACAATGCCCACTCTGACTCTGAATTTGCAAAAGTTCCCCTACCTTAGCCATGGGTCTAACTAGCAGCAGCTTTTCAGTCAGCACAAATGTAGAAATTTTTTTTAAAAAAAAAACTCCACAGCCCCACAATACTTACGGTCCTCATTGTGCACAATCTGGAAGTTCTTAACCGAAGCATGTGTAACTCTTCCATGGAAGTTCAGCACGTAAGACTGAGTTTCATCGTTCCATACAGGGACTTTGTTATGCAGCTCAATTAAGCTGTCCATTATCTTATTTTGCCATCTCATGAGTAATCCATCATTATCCTAGGAAATTGTGAGAAAAAGCATTACCACAAGTAATTCAAAAATATATCTTCTTAAATATTTATTTGGTTATATTTGCATGAAGAAATAATACATGTACATACAATTGATACTCACGGTGTACATCACAAGAAGTCCTCTAATATTTTTGAGCATAATTACAGTGACATCTTAGCCTTGCTCCTCTTAAAAGTTGTGCCGCGAAACCTGATATTAATATACTAAGTATGCACATACTTGTTCCTCCAGGTTTCACGAGTGGAGTTCAAGGGAGCTTGAGAAGGATAATATCCACATATAAATTATATATCAAAGCTTGCAATCCTTTGCTTAGCTTTTGACAACCTGGTGCATATTGACTAGGAATGTTGCAGTGCCAACTCAGTTGGAGGTCACAGATCAAGAAAGATGACCTTTCCTCAGATTTCAGAATCAATGTTTTCTGTGCTATGAATGTTTTGAAGAAAGAATTATGTGCACAGTGATTTCTTCATGTATTCCATTTTTCATCCAAAACCCTGAGATAATCATTTTATTTTAAACTATATATATGAGGTTTATTCTTTGGAAGGAGCTGGCCAAACAGGGATTTGAAGATATATCTTCATATCAAGCTAGATGACATAATAAGGGCTTATATAGTGTTTGATTCACTCATTCTTGTTTTGTCAATGGAAACACTTCACCATTTATATTTATATTATATTGTTGGTTGAGATCCTTAGCTGCAGAGCATTTTCCTGCAACTTAATGCTTTCTATACGTATTAATATACAACTTTTAATGCTTTCCAACCATGATGGGAATTGCTATTCCGCACACCTGGATGATGCCAAGTTTAGGAAGATTGTTTTTGAAATAAAGCCTTGGAAACACCCTTATATCTCCTATTCTAAAAGAAAGTCCTGTATTTTATATTTTTGCTGACACAAAATTTCATGGCAAAAATGCAGCACTCTTTGTGATTAAGTGCCTCTCTGCACACTTGGATATTTTATTTTATTAAGCATGAAAAGCAGAACATCAGAGAAATGGCAACTTGATGTCTACAAACATTGGGATTACTTAGAAGTAATGAAACCTTGTATGAAGGTTTATGTGTAACTTACATTTCGGGGACGGATTGGCACCCTTTCATTATCAGAATCCATTCCAGGAATGACCACTGTCATTTTTCGAGGTCCTTTGAAACCTAATACATTTGTCTCCTGAAATAGAAATACCACAACATTCATAACTGAGTTGCCATCATGTATCTCCACAACATGATCAACTTCAGCTGATCCTTAACAGTTTAAAGTCATTTTTCTGCTAGCCTGAAGCCTTACATTGCACATGTCTCAGTAGTTCTAAAACCCAAAATTGAGTATCCCAGCACATATATGGAAGCAAAGAGAAAAAGAAGGAATTTAATAAGGAAGGGAACGTGTCACACCTGCCCCTGCCAATCTGCTTCCTTATCTCATCTCCTTCTCCTCCTCAACCTTTGATGCTGCTTTCCCCAACTCTCTACCACTGGGAGGTAGCTGCTTTCACCACTAGGGAATGCTGTGAAAATCCTGCCCTGTTGGTGCCCCAGAAAAGATGCTTGTGGAATGGTGTGAAACGCAGTCTCTACTTTTCAGAGACACAGGCGGTGTTATAAGGCGGATGTCTTTCTCCCCTGACCAGAGGACTTAAAATTCTCCATTCATTTCTTCCTGCCTCAAATCCCTGAAGAATCATTGATGAAAACTCTCAACCAACACGTATGTCTTGAACTGTTAGTTTGATAGAATCTACTACATTGTAATAAAGTGGCAATATGGCCTACTTAAGTGGAACAGAGTGGTTCAAGAAATATGCAGGTATAAAATTTAACTAACATAATACATTCCCTGACCACCTAAATTAAATTGTTTCTTTGCAGATGACAATTCCCTTAGTGAAAAAAATTAAATTATTCCTAACCACAACATATAGAACAGACATTCTTTCTTTTCTTCATATCGTAGTATACTTTTACTGGCATTTGGATCAAGCTATAGAGCTGTCAGGGATGATTTTTGCAGTGAATGGAAAATTCTTAAAATTCCTTGGTACTGATAAGCAACCTGCCATCTTGGTATGGATTAGTCTAGTGGCTGCCTATTAAATAGAAGTTTAATGGGGAAATAGTTCACAGAATGGTTCCTTACATAAATAACAGCTGCAAGCTCCTGGCGTACATTGGACCAGTCAGCATTTGCTCTGTCTGGATTTACACCGTTGTCAAACACCGAGAATCGAGTACCCATTAAATTGGATCTAAAAGAAAAGATGGAAATCAGGCCAGTAGGACAAAAAAAGGGGCAAAAGTTGCACAACACCACACTTCAGTCTGAACAAGTATCGTTTCTTTGGAATGTCATTTTACATTATATGCTGAAGTAGCTCCAACAAATCTATTAAGTTTTCAGGATGAGATAGAAGAAGGGAATGGAAAGGTCACTCAATCAGGGCCTCTGCTACATTTCTCAACCCTGGGCCTATGAAATGGTGACATGCATGCCTCTCCCTTTTCCTTGGCTAAAACCTGCCTGACCACTGTTTCCTCTCTGGCCCCAGGGATGATCTCTGTTACAATCTGATAGCGAGATCTGTCTGGTTTGTTAGTTTATGCACTAGCTTGATTATCATTTTGGATCTAAGAAATCCTGAGTTATGACCTGAGACAATACAGTACAATAGCAGAGTTGGAAGGGACCTTGGAGGTCTTCTAGTCCAACCCCCTGCCTAGGCAGGAAACCCTATACCGTTTCAGACAAATGGCTAGCCANTTAGATACTAGCTTCAGCTATAGTGGTTTCCATCAAGGTCCTCTGTTCCGGTGGGAACAGAGGTTTAATCCCATTGATCGAAGGGTCTGACAGCTCCCTATAAAAGGGCTGCTATCAGACTCAACCTCCGCTGGATTGTACATAGTTGCTACTGAGTTAATAAAGAGCTGTTGTTACTGTTAGCCTGTGTGTGCCTTTCCATTACCCGATTCAACATTAGTGAAGAAGGTGGGATTGGAAGGCAACTAGGCGAACCAAAAAGAGAGTAGCAATCCAGCAAGTAGATCCAGCCTGGAGCTCAGCGTGGCTTCGAGCAGCCATTTTTAAGCGGCAAACTCAAAATGCCCGCAGAACACAAAATGGCCAACGTTTGCAGAAGCGAGCACCCACCATGACCTGGCAGCCAAGAAGCTGATCTAACCGCCAGCAGAGGCCCAACCAAGGGGCATGGCAGAAGCCACCACAGCATTCAGAGGGTGACATCAGAGTCACCTACCACACCTCAATTGGCCAAGTCCGCACTAGGCGGCCAAAAAAGCTGAAGGTCATAGTCCTCATTGAGGGCTATCCGTGTGAGATGGAGATCGACATGGAGTCATCACTGACCATCATGCCATAGTCCACACTTAAGCGGGCTAGCCCTAGCCTGAAGAAGCAGCATCTATCCGCCCTTGACATCTGCCTTCGCGATTACCAGGGGAACTGAGTCCTCATCGTGGGCCAGGGCACCTTCCAGGTGCAATTCAAGAAATACAGTGGCCAGCTCTCAGTGATGGTGGTCAGCGGTAACCTGCAGAGCCTCCTGGGTCTTGGCTGGTTCAAAGCCCTGGGCCTAGAAGTGACCGGTATCAATGCCTTGAAAGATGAGAGCACTGAAGCAATTTTTAAGGAGTTTTTAAGGAGTTTTAAGGAGCGATCTTTAAGGAGTTCGAGTTCGCCCCAAAATTGATCTGGAAACTGACAAGCTCGTAGGCCAGGGAATCCTAGAGCCAGTTGATCATGCACACTGGGAGACCCCTATAGTGACACCTGTCAAATCTGACGGGTGTATCCACATCTGCGTGGACTACAAATGCACAATCAATAAAGCGTTGCAACAAAGCGCTTACCCTGTACCCATTGTACAGCATTTACTACATTCTTTAGGCCCCCCAAAAATATTAGCTAAATTAGACATGGCACAGGCATACCAACAATTGCCTGTAGATGGAGCTACAGCGGAGGCCCAAACCATTGTGACGCACAGGGGTGCATTCAAATGTAACCGCCTGCAATTTGGTGTTAGTATTGCCCCAGGACTGTTCCAAAGTGTCATGGAACGGCTTTTGCAGGGTATTCCAGGAGTCATCTCCTATTTTGATGACATCTTGGTATCGGCTGCAAATGAGGTGCAACTTTTCAAAAGTTTGCGAACTGTTTTGACCAGAATTCGAGACAAAGGCCTCAGTCTCAAAAAAGAAAAATGCCAAATCAACATGCCAAGGGTTGAATTCTTAAGGTACCTAATTGATGGATCTGGGATTCACCCAACCACTAAAAAAAATCAAGCAATCCAGGACGCTCCTACACCTCGCAATCAAAATGAGCTGCAGGCGTTCCTCAGGCTCCTTAATTTCTACAGCATCTTTCTGGAACAGAAAGCCACTGTTGCTGAGCCTTTACATCGTCTCCTGGCAAAGAATGTGAAGTGGTCCTGGGGCAGAGCCGAGGCTGCTGCATTTGCCACGGTAAAAAGATTTCTCTCAGCAGACACATTCCTGGTGCAGTACAGCCAGACCCTGCCACTGGTGCTGACCTGTGACCGTTTGACGTCGGGGCCGTCCTCAGCCACCGCATGCCCAATGGAACCGAGGCTCCCATAGCCTTTTACTCTAGGACCTTGTCCACTGCCGAGCGGAACTACAGCCTGCTGGACCATGAGGCTTTGGCTGCAGTGGCCAGAGTAAAAAGGTTCCATGAGTACCTATACAGCCGTGATTTCGAACTAATTACGGATCACAAACTGCTACTGGGCTTGCTTGCTGAGGACCGACTCACTCCTGTGTCATTATCACCGCAGATGACCAGATGGACCATGTTCTTAGCTGCCTACTCCTACCATCTCATCCATCGACCTGGCTCCACTTTGAGGCATGCCAACGCTTTGAGCCACTGCCCGCTGCCAGAAATTCTTGCTGACCCTACCCCCGAGACGCCAGTTCTTCTCATTGACTGCTTAGATGCTGGTCCTGTCTCGTCTAGTGACGTTGCCCGTCACTCTGCAAAAGACTCCACCATCAAACAGATTTTGAACTGGGTGTGGAGGGGATGGGCCTAGGGGCCTGTTGGGTCTGATTTCAAAATGTACCATTGTAAGCATGACGAATTGTCTGTTGTTAATGGCTGTTTGCTGTGGGGGGGACCAGGTCGTTGTTCCACCCAAACTGTGCATTGCAGTATTAGAGGCTTTACACATAGGGCATCCTGGAATTGTCAAGATGAAGTCTCTGGTCAGGAGTTACGTGTGGTGGCCTAACATGGACAGGGAGATAGAAGAATGGGTGCTTACCTGCACACCGTGCCAGCTCCTCCAGAGGTGCCCGCTAAGGAGTGGGAGCGACCTCAAGCAGAGTGGTCTAGGGTGCACATTGATTTTGCTGGCCCAGTTCATGGCCAGACTTTCCTTGTAGTTGTGGACACCTACTCGAAATGGCTAGAGGTAGCCTGATGACCTCCACTACAGCAGAAGCTGTCATCAAGGTACTGCAGAGACTTCTCTCCACGCACGGCCTGCCCGACGTCCTGGTCTCTGACAACAGGCCCCAATTCACAGCCATGCAATTTAAGACCTTCTTAGCAGCACAGGGAATCAGACATACCCTGGTCACACCATTCCATCTGGCCTCCAATGGTCAGGCAGAGAGAATGGTGAGATCTGCAAAAGAGGCCCTATCTAGAATGGGCCTGGGTGATTGGCAAACATGGGCTGACCACTATTTGCTAATCCAGCACATCACACCCAGTGCCACTACAGGGAAAAGCCCCTCTGAACTTCTCATGGGTCGCCAGCTAAAGTCCTACTTAGACCGGCTACACCCAAACTATTCTGCCGCATCGCCCCCTGACTCCACAAGCAAAATTCAGAACTTTAGCATAGGGGATTCAGTTTACGCCCACAACTATGCCAGAGGAACTCTGTGGATTCCTGCCACAGTGATAGGCATCATCGGGTCTCGTTCTTATCGCATAGAGCTCAAGGATGGTTGGAATTGGAGAAGGCACATTGACGAACTCCATGGCTGCCTCTCCAACTCCACTCTTAGGCAGCTAGAGGTAACTCCTGCTTGAGTTAACCAAAGCCCTACTCAAAAGGAGCACGAAGTTACTCCTTCCATAGCCAACTCAAACCCGAAGTCACCGGGATACTTAGCTTCTTGTGTTGCAGGCCTGCAGCGAGCTCCGAGCAAACCGGCTCTAGAAGCTCCAGCCACAGCCTGTGAAAGGTCCAGGAGCTTCCACCAAGTGGAGCTGCAGAGCAAACAGGTCCATCTGACCTGTCCGAAGAACACCCTCCAACTGAACTGCACAGGTCAGGCAGAGCTACCAAAAAGCCCGCCTACCTGCATGACTATGAGACCTGTAGGATTACTCCATCTAAGAGGGGAGGGGTGTTAGATACCAGTGATGTGCAGTGAGGTTTATGGCTGGTGAGGCACTGACACAGGGGTTTCAAATTTTTTTAGACTTGTGNTTCCTTCCTTCCTTCCTTCCTTCCTTCCTTCCTTCCTTCCTTCCCTTTTTCCTCCCTCCTCCCTCCTTTCCTTCCTTCCTTCCTCCATTCCTTCCTTCCTTCCTTCCTTTTTCATAAATGCAGCTATAACGAAAGTCTGAGCTTTACCCTTTGGTAAGATAGGCAATGGCCACAGCCAAACAACCAAGGTACGTTGCCTCCATGGCCAAGCCCTATTCTTCTTCCATAGCAAGACTAGTGAGTAATGTCTGTCAATATAAATTTCTAGTGGGATAAGTGAAAGAAAATAATGGGTGAGTTTCTTGGCTCTCTTCCTCCTCCCACTAAATGTCACCTGCTAGTGGAAAAACAGCCGCTAATTCTGCCCTTAATGTGAGGTGGGGTGGGGCAAGTATATAAGTACTTTGAACAGCAGGCTTAGCCACCTGTCAGCTTGTCTGACTAACTATATTGTGCAATCAGATCACTCTCCAGAAGCCTTGTGTTTTGTCACTCCTGCAGCCCCAAGCCATGACGGCCATAGAGAGCAGCGCCCAGCAACCAGAGGAGGGGTGTGTGTGAGCCAATAGCTAAATGTGACTTTAAGCGGTCTCAGCTATGGGGCAATGAAAGAGCAACGAAACTGAAGAAGTAGGAAGGCAGATTGTTTGAACTGAGTTAGAACTTCATGGAAACTGAATTTAATTCACACACAGCATTATTAATGAAATACAATGAGACATATTTCGGTGCTAAAAATTAAATGGACCTCTAAGGAAGCATTTACCAAATCAGATTTTCAGTTCTGCTCAGAATAAATTATGTTAAACATAGAATATCACAAAGTACAGATTAAAAGTATTATTTATATATTGAGCCTGCACTATTTATTGTGAAGTAACATCACTTTATAACATTTGACGACTTCCACAGCCTGAGGCTACGCACGAGAATACTCAACATTGGAATCCAAACACAACTGAAGGCACTAGGCCAAAGGTTGCTGGACTACCGCTTCCCAAATACAGTTCCCAGTGGAGACTATAGGTATTTTTTCTTCTATTCCCCCCCACCCATCCCAGAAGCTATGAAAAACTGTTAGAAATCTACAACATTCTTCCTCCAAATGATAGTTCTGTAAAGATAGGCTTTATTAAACTACTTAGATTGCCTATCAAATCTGTAATGGGTTGAGTAGAAGATTTGGTAAAGTTTGAGATCAAGCAATTAACTTGGGGTGGTGGGAAAAGGCAATACAATTACTATGATTGCAACTCTAAATATCCGTGATGAAGAAGAGATGCTGCTTGCAAGCTTTTCTGCCCTAAACAAGTGATTCACTGGGTGGCATTTGTTCCTTTGCTCTAACAAAAAACTGTGATCTGATCTGCTTTGTAGTAGAGGTTGGTTTTTCCTTGGCTCAAAACACTTTAATTTACATTCCTATAACTTGCAGGATTATCTGTACTAAGAACTATTGAAATGGTAAATAAAAACTTTAATTACTACATCCCACCACTGTGCTGCACAGAAGGGCTTTTAATGGCAGAGGCAGCATATACGCTATCTGTCCATTGAAACTCTCAGAGCCATGGGAGCAAGACAGTTGGTATTCTAAAATGTCCCCAAATTCAAGGGTGGATTGCTGGGGGTCTGCAGGGGTTTGGGAGAACCTCTAGCTAAGGTTCTGTGCAGTTCAGTTAACCCCCAAATTCCACTCCTGGCTGGCCACGGCCATCTTTCCCTGCCCCTCTCAAGAGTCCCCAAGCAGCCTGTTTTGGATGCAGATAAGTGCAGGGTGTGCATGGAAGCCCAGGGAGGGTGAAAAATGGGCCTACCAGATGTTTGGGAAGGCGGGAAACAGGCCCGTTTCTGTCCTCCAGAGGAGCCTGGGGAGGCCCCTTTTGCCCTCTCCAAGGCGCAAGGAAAGCCTCAGGAGCCCAGGAAGGGCAAAAATGCCCCCCGTAGTGCAGGAGGCAACTAGGCCATGCCCACCATGGCTATGCCCACCCAGCAACCAGGCAGAGAGCCCCTTGCTAAAATTTTTGAAGCCCACCCATGCCTGAATTGACTTTTCAATGTTGTGAATGTTCCTTCTCTTGCAGATAGTAAGAAAGATGGGTGTGATGTTTTGCTCTCACAACAATAGCTTAAGAATACATGCATTATATGGTTTATACGTTTCCAAAACACTAAGGAAAGGGGGGGGGAATACATAGAACAGTGTATGACAAATTGTACACATTTTTCATAATTTTACATTCTTCCCAGGTGTTCTCAAATATCCAGGGTTTTTATCTGTGTGGAAAAAGTCACACAGTGACCAGGTGGTGAAGTCACCACCTGGTGTTAACAAGCATTTCTTCCTGTCTGGGATCCAAAGTTTTGGTGCAACCTGCAAAGGAGTGTGTGTGTAAAACAGCCCCATCTCCTCCTTAATCGGGGAATTGTTTTATAAAAGAGAAAATCAAAAACAAGCATGCATGTAGTGCAGTAATGGTTTCCTCTTATCTTCACTACTGGTTCAGAACCGGAAGCATTCACGTGCGACACTTCTGCGCATGCACAGAACCTTTTGCGCATGTGCAGAACCATCTGTGCATGTGCAGAGCATCTGTGATGACATCTGGGTGGATGGGCAGAGCCTCCCACCACCGCTGCTACCCAGTTTGCCCGAACTGGGGCCAATCAGACGAATACCACCTCACCATCTCTGATGTGGTACCTGGGTGTGTTGAGAAAAGAGTCAAGAGGACAGTACTGTGTTTCCCCAAAAATAAGACAGGGTCTTATTTTCTTTTTACCCACAAAATATAGCTTAGGCCTTATTATGAAGGGAGGGTTTATTGTTTTGGGGTTGCCAGGCGGCTGCTCTCTTCCGAGCGGGCACAGCCCCATGGGCGAATCGCAGCAGCGCAACACAGCAGACATGAAGTGACCACACTCACGAGCAGCTANCCCCTGAGCGAATCAGCAGTAGTCTCTGCCGGAACCCACCACTGTATTGTACGTTGCCTTTGGTGCCTGATAGACAGAGGATGTATCAGTGGTGGGATCCTATCGGTTTAACAACCGGTTCAGTGATTGCGCCGGTTTGTGAAAACTTACCTTCCGCATTACTGCTGGGGAGGAAAACAGTTGAGGTGCGGCACTCCGCTCTGCCATGTGAGAGGATTTAGGTCAGTACAATGCAAGGACAGGTGGGCGGGCCCAGCAGATTGTCGGAGCGAACCGCTTTGCTCCCAGCTGATCATTGCAGCTATTGGATCGCCCAAACTGATCCAAACCAGTAGAATCCCACCCCTGGTAATGTTATATTAAATATTAACATACAGAGCAATCTTTACATACTCAACGAAGGCTTCCTTTAATCACACACCTTTTTGTCATTATCGACATGAAGGTAATAGGTAGGGTAGAGACCACGATCCATTCCTCTTTTGTCTCGAGTGACACGACACTTGATGGTCATTCCATGAGGAGCTGGCTGCAGCACAAATTCCTCAAGATTGTCCTCTTCAATGACTGGAAAAGGTGGCCTTTCTTCTTTCTGTAGTCCAGCAATAAGAGAAAGAGGATGTTGGTTTGTTTACCCGTCCCCTCCTCAAAATCTCTTATCCTAAGCATTCTAGCATAGCCACTACAAAACCATCATTGTTTGTTTTGATGATTGCAATGATGATACTTCATGTCTCACATCCTAACCATCCATGTCTATGACAGTTCTTCCTGACATAGTAGGTCCCACAGTATCCAAAAGCTGGCTTTGGAAGGTGCTTTCCGCTGTGTCTTTGATGTGTGCAGTCCTAAAAGCAGATGATGGCAAAGTGCTGGGTTGCATAAGTGTGGGAGAGAGTGAAATGAAGATGGAGGCTGGGATTAATCTCTTATTTAGTTATTCATTTATTTCAAAAATTTATCTGCCATTGTAACAAAGTATCAGGGCAGATTCCGATATGTAAGAAGCAACTTTCATGTGTACAAGTAGTCCTTGGTTACCGATAGTAGTTGAAACCAGCACTTCTGTTGCTTAGTGATGCAATTGTAAAATGAAATGTCATGGACCATTCTGGACTTACAGTGTTGATTCCCCTGTGCTCATTAAGCAAATCAGCTTAGGTCGCTAAGTGAGATATTACATGACTGCAACTTGTGGACTTCCTGCAGGCTTCCCCACTGATCTTGCTTGTCAGAAACTGGCTGTGAAGGTGTCAAATGGCAATCACTTCACTGGAGGATGCTGTGACTTTTGTAAATGCATGCAACATCCGAATCACAATCTTGTGACCGTGAGGACCCTACGAAAGCTACAAGTCCAAGAACCGTAGGTCGTAAACCTACTTTTTCAGCACCCTTGTACTTTCAAACTGTTGCTGAAGGAGGCAATGAATAAGTGAGGACTACCTGTAATTGATTCATAAATAATGAATAAAATCAAACAGAAATATTAGAGATATAAACTAGGGAAGCTGGGAATGTGACTGTATAGAGCAGGAATCCTAATTTTCAACTTTAGTATGCCAAGGAGGTTGACTTCATCCTTTAGGAATGTCTCACTAGTTACCTTTTTGGATTTCTTGGATTTCCCTTTCCGGTTGGAGTTCTTATGGACTACCTCTTCCTCGCTTTCATTTTCCGTGGCTTTGGCGGGAACTGTAGGGAAAAAAAGATTTTAGCAGCCACCTGATGGTTAAACAGATGACAGCAACATCTACTCAGGCCTGTCAAACTGGTGGCCCGCAGGCCGGATGCGCCATGGACGGGCCATGATACATCAAGTGATGCAATTGAGTTTGACACCTGTGTTCTAGATAATCCTTCGTCAGCAATCTCAGAATTTCCTTTTCCCATTTTGTCACTGATGGAAAAGCAAATATTTTTGTAATTGATCTGGGGATGCAGCCTTTACTTTATCTAATAGATTTTCAGCCTGTTTTTTTTTAAAGTGATAAGCACCTTTACCAAGTGAGTTACAATATGCTTCAGGCACAAAATACATAGTATATATAAAAAGCAGGAAACAAATAAAGATAAATACCAGATAAAACCTTAGTTAGACACATATTACAGTATAATTAACTATGTAAACAGGGCCTGGAATAAATATGTCTTGAATGTCATTTTAAAGCAACGTATACAATTTCCTTTTGGCGCAAAGGCCACAGTCGATAGGGCATGGTAGAGAGAAGGACAGAATATGTATGTTAGTGGCAATTCTAGAACTTTAAGAATGAAAGGGCATTTGCAAAATTTAAAACTTTAATTTCCCCCCTTTAAAGCAAAAACGAAACCCTTCAAAATGCAAAAAGGTGCTCCATTTTGTGCCTTCATCTATTTTGCAGATGCCCCCCCCAAAAAAAGATATAATTAGACTGTACATTTTGCACCTTCTCCTAAAGATTGCAAAAGAGGAAGCACATGGGTATTCTATGGAAAAACATTTCACAAATGTTGAGCCACTTCAAAAAAAAGTTCTGTTTCTGCTCCTATTTTGCAGCTGTCACTGACAGACCAGATAACAAGACTGGCATATTGATTTTAGTTTTAGGAAGTGGCAAGAAGTCCCTGACTATCTAGTGGGGATTTTTCAAAACAGCAGACATAAGAGCTCTCACTTATAGCACATCAGTACCAAACATTCTGAGTGTGAGGTCATTTGAATAAGTGAATGTATCATCTTTCGGTATTTGTATCAGCAAATGCTGCACCTACCCTTCTTTTTAGTTTTCTTCTCCTTGAGGACTTCTCCTCCAGTCTGAAACATGGATGCCGCACTCTTCTTTTTCTCCGATTTGGTTGACTTGGCATTGGAACTGGAATCATTTTCTGTGTCGCTATTTTTTAGCACTACATTAATGAGAAATGTTTAATCCAGGGAGAAATTAATCAGATTAGATTCTTTTTATTAATACCTAATTTCCTAGCAGATATTTCCAAATTTGCTCTGAATCCCCTCCAAAAAGATGATTTATCCAAGTAATGTCCCTTGATGTTGGATTCAACACTGGCATCATGAGGAATTTTAAGAATTTGGTCAACTTCAAACCAAATCTGGCCGCAGCGATCTTTCTCTTCCTCAGTTGCCATACAAGGGAAAGGGGGGAAGGAGCTTAGAATGCATTACCAGACACAACAAGGAGCTTTCTCGTGAGAACCAAGGTCATCTCTACTGGCAACAAATAAGGTTGGGGAAAGACTACCTGAAGAGCCCACCTGTTAACCCAATTGGCCAACGTGACCTATGGCACTTGGGGATGGGGTTATTTACTAGTTTAATTATACTGTAATCACTTGGGGATGAGGTTACTTCCTAGTTTAATTATCCTGAAACCACGGGGAAGATTTAGAATTGGTTTTCCATTGAAGCTGTGCCGATATGATGTACTCAATAAAGAAAACCTTTGAGAAGGAGCCAAGTCTCAGAGTTCTGGTTTGCTTGGGTTCATTAGTCAGAGCCTTGACAAACTGCTCATGCTTACTTCTAAAGTACGGTAATTGTTGAACCCTTCATGCACTTACATTGAACAAAGGTGCTTCATGGATTGCACGAGTGAATCTTTCTAATGGATTTTGGGGGCAGTCTGTTTACCTCTAAAGGCGTCATGCAATGATACACCAGAGGCTGCATTTTACTGGATCTGGCTGAAGCCAGTGGAGTCATACCTACCCTATTAGGGGATACAGACAAGGGTGGTATCATCCTCTTCCCCCGTCATCCCATATACAATATTCACATACAGGCACCAACCCTTTTTTCTATTCACACACATACCATATTTTTCAGAGTATAAGATGCACCTTTCCCCCCCCCCAAAAGAAGGTGAAAATCTGGGTGCATCTTATACACTGAATACAGCATTTTTGGCCTACTGAAACCCTACCCCTTTGCAAAAATGGACATGCAGAGGGTTTGGGAAGTTTGCAAAGTGNAACAGGCGCTCATGCGGCTTGGTGATATCCCTAGGTCAGTGAATGGTGCTGTGCCCATCTGGAAAGGGGGTTTGCTGGGTGGCTGCTCGTGAGCATGGTCATTTCATGGCTGCTGTGTTGCACTGTTGAGACAGTGCAACACAGCCATTTGCCCATGAGGCTGTGCCTGGCTCTTTGGGAGTCCACTTGCAAGAGACTAGCTACCCGGCACCCCCCCCTCTTCAGCTGGGCACAGAGCCACTCACCAACCTAGCGCTATCCTGAAGGTGCCAAGCAACACAATCACCTTTGCCTCCCCCCAGTTCCCATAGCTTGGCACCTTCGGGATACCGCTAAGTCGGTGAACGGTGCTCTGCCTGGCCGGAGGTAGGGGGTTGTTCAGGGGGGTTATTTTCAGGGGGGCTTATATTTTTGCCCACCCAAAAAATGTGGCACGGCTTTAGTTTCAGGACATGTATTTTCGGGGAAACACGGTAGAAACGTGGGAAATTCTGAGGAAAGAGAAACTCCAGCCAAAAGGCAAACACCTCAGCAGGAGTCTAAGAGACAAGAAAAATATTCAATTTTGGAGCTGCAAAACCAATAAAAAGCAGAACTGGGAGACGGGGAAAGAAAAGAGCCTGACTAGAGTCTGCAAATCTGTGAGCCTGGCAACCAAACCAAGCCCACTTGTTGCAGCAACCCAGATGCAGGACAAGAGGACATGGATGGAAACTACCATATTTTTTGGATTATAAGATGCACTGGTGTATAAGTTGCACCAAGATTTCGAAGAGGTAAGTAAGAAAAAACAGTTTCTATCCTCCCACTCTGCAGGCTTCAGCAGGGGGAAAGCAAAAATGCCCCCGTTTTTGTGAAAAATGGCCCATTTTTCACCCATTTCTCACAAAAATGGAGTACGGGGGTGGGACTCTGGGAGGCCAAAAATGGCTGTATTTGGTGTATAAGATGCACCAACATTTCCATGCTCTTTTAGGGGGGGTGCATCTTATACTCTGAAAAATACGGTAATCAAGGAAAGACACAACCTAAAACTAAGGAAAATTTCCTGATAGAACAATTAAATCAATGGAACAATTTGCCTCCAGAAGTTGTGGGTGCTCCAACACTGGAGGTTTTAAAGAAAAGACTGGACAGCCACTTGTCTGAAATGGTGTAGGGTTTCCTGCCTGAGCAGGAGGTTGGACTAGTAGAAGACCTCCAAATTCTATTCTGATTGATTCAGTGAAGAAACAGTGGACTGTGAGTACTGGTGGGGCTGGGGTGGGGCTGGTGGGTCGAGGAGAGGAAAGTCTATTCCCAAGTCTATAAAAGTGTGAAAAGAGGTCTCACATGCAAATAGACTGAGACTGGGCTGAATAAAGATAAGGAAACATAGTGCAAAAGTAATAACAGGAACATAGAAACTTAAAGATGAAATAAGAATAGAAATAGAATCGTTGTAAACTTATGGCACTAGGAAGATTAATAGAATAAGAAAGTTCAAGACAATAGAATAAAGATAGAAGTGTAAGATAGTAAAAGAAGATAGTTTACTTTTGTACACTTAAAGAGTTTTGTGTGGGGAAAACAAACATGGTATACAGTTTTTGTATCTATTCTGTATTATATTTTTAAAAAATCCTCACCTGCCAAGCTGTGCAGTATTTACAGGGAAATTTGTTGGAATTGTCCCTGGCATAATAGCTTAGATTTTTCAAAATAACTTGGATGAAACAACCCTAACCTTAGCTTTCCAATGAAGTTCTCCCCATCTCGACTCAAGTCAGTAGGATCAGTGGAAATCAGATAATTCGATGTCTTGCTCTTTTTCCGTTTTCGACCAGCCAACAAGAAGATCTAAGTGGAAAAGGGAGAACCGGAAAGCACAGCATTGATATGTGAAATTGACACATCTTAATTTACTAACCACAGTGTCCAACCATAGCATCTACAGTGTCCTTTCCATTCTTCAGCCTATTTATTACACTCCATATACCACCTACTTGTTCAATTATAGATATCATATAGAATATATGCATTAAAAATCAATGTAGAATAATGAGTATTTGATGACTTCAATAAAAATTTTCCCCACCTAATGTCTTATTGAGGAGGACTGTCTTTGCCAAATTCCTAAAAAATGAAAGCATGTGTGTGTGGGGGTGTCTCCTGATCTCCAGGGGAGAACTGACCCCACCCCCTCAAAATTGCCACCAGAGCATCTCTGAGAATTGCATTCGTCTCCCACTGTACCCTTATCTCTCTAGGCCTGGGGACTCCAGCACTCTCTTTTTTTAAACAATGAGGTATGAAACCTTGAAAAACATTAGCTACAGTGTGTATGCATGTGGCTATGTGTGCATGTGTATTTGTATACAAACATATGCATATAACAGTTTCTTCCTTAAAGTATATAATAAAGTATTATACACTTAAATATGATCTACAGAAACGAGAGAAATTGCTATACTAAACTGTGCAGGGGCAGAAAGGGGGAACAAAGGGGAAAAAGAGACATCCAAACTATATCTAATTGTAAATATAAAACATAAGGGTTTTAAAGAAATCAGGCCATTGTTTTTCTTAAAATACATAATGACAACAAATCCAGCAATCACCTCTGGTTAAAGCTGGATTGCAGGGGATGGCTGACTTGGTTGCTGTTCTCTCATCCCCTCTGATGTTCAGCTTCATCTTTGCCTGATCTGCAGGGATTCTATGGCTAAGCATGGAAACTTGGGGGTGTCTTTTCTACATTTTTTTTTCAAAATAAGGGTGCCCACAAATGGGATTCAAGGGGATCAAATTGGTGGGCAAATCCATCTGGTAAACTTGCAAGATTCGTTTTTCTTGCCACATAAATTTATACATCCGAGCTAAACGGTGTTGTTTTCCTATGTCAAACAATATATGTGGGTATATGAATAATTCTTTTTTTATTTATTTTGTCATGTTTATGTAGTGTATATTGGAGGTGGTGACCCTTTGAAAGCTGTATGCAACGAAATTTTGTTTTAATGGATGCCGATTGATGTACATTTAAAATGACAATAAAGGTATTCTAAGTCTAAAACATTGATGAAAGCTTTACCCATCCTATCCACCTATGAGGTTCACACATATAGAAAGGATGATGCATCAATGCATGGGGCAGTTCAGCATTTATCTCTCCTGCCTTTGTTGCTTTACAGACATCCTTTAAAATCACAACCTTCAGAACTGTACTGATTTACATTTGTACAATGACTCCTTGGGAGTGACTGCTGCCACAACCAATTATGGATAATCTCAGCCAGTTTTAGGGATCACCGTACTTACCACACTGCAATCCCCTGGCATGATAAATTAATTTGTGTAATGCACACAGAAATAAAACAAATTTATTTATTTGGAGTTTTTATATGCCGCCCAATCCCAAAGGACTCTGGCTTACAAGAAATATAAAAAACAAATAACGACAAAACAATTTAAAAACAACAGACACCCCTCATACATTCATTCTAGTCAGGGCCGGACCTCAGCAGTGAG